AGTCCTTCAGATATCCTATTACGCATTGCGAAACAAAGGCTAATCACCTGAGGTATTTAAAAGTTAAAGCAACTAATAAGATGACTTAGAATTTCAGCTCACTGTGGCTTGCTCTTGTTTCTTTCACTTTTCATATTCTCTTTTTAGGTCTAATGTGTTTAAAAGACATGCATTCCTAAACAAACTACCCTTATCTAACTGGTACTTATTTCAAAGATAGCTGGTTCACTATACATCTACAAAGACATATCTCTGATATCGCTGAAGTCCACACTTATCTGTAGCTTATCTGTTGTCTGGTTTAAAAGGCCTGTACATACGTGTGGATGGGTTGTACAAATGTGACACTAGTACTTTATGACTTAAATAGGCTATAAAAAAATGTCTGTAAGCTATGCCCAAAAGATTAAAAATATAAAGAATTCTACAACAGGTTTCAAATACTTTATTGATACTCCTCTGTACTGTTAAGTCCAGTACCACTAAAAAAATGAGAGGGTTATTTCTTCATTTCTATTAGTGAGTCTGTGCTCTTTGTTAATTGATATCTTCTGGCTCTACAAGAACAGTATTAGTTCAAATGCCCGCTTGCCTTTCTCCTCTAAAAGAGAAGGATTCTAGAGTAACAGCTGTCACACATTTATTCCAGAGGTGATAAAGACTCAGATCAAGTAAACTTGGTTCTTGCTGTCACTATCAGTCACATGTGTGAGGAAATACATTTATTTCCCAAATATATGAATGCCCCATAAAGGGAAATGCAACTGATTGACCTTTTTTTTTTTCCAGGTATCAAAAGATGAAATTAAATGGAGACTTACAAAATACAGCCCTCGTTCTAATCTATGGGCAATAATCTTTATCTGAGACAGTTTAACTGTGCCTGAAGACGACAGATAAAGAGTGCTCTGGTTTGGATACAATTATTAATTCTTTCAGATATTTATCTGAGTTATCATGAAGCAGCACAAACTCTTCAGCCTAATGCAGTTTTCTACAGGGAGACATTGCTATGTTTTGATAAAAAGTAGCTGGAAAGGGGGAGCATTGTGACACAGGAGGCGAATAAAGCCAAGGCATAAATAAATGCAGAAGATGAATGAGAAAGAAAATTGTAGAGGGAGGAAGGTGACGAAGCTACAAATTTAAAATTAAGGTGAGGCAAAAGAGAAGACTTAATTTCTCATGGTGGCAATTAGAAGGAAGGAAAATGCTGTCAGTCTGGAATTAAGAAGAAGATTAATCTGACAGTTCAATTATCAGATAAAAGACAATCAGCACTGTAAAGCACGAAATTCGTTCAATGCACCAATTATTAAGGAGGAAAATACAGATGCCAAGTGGTTTCTGATGTTTTTTTTAAACAAATCAGATGAGCAGTTTAACGTTTTCAAGACAAGTCATACGCTTCACTTGTCACTCTGATGATAACTGTGATTTTCATCGTATGTTGGGTTTGATGTGTTTGAGAATACACTTCCAGAAGATTACTAATACACAAAAGCAAATATAAGAGGCTGCATTTTAAGATGGAATTTGATTCCATCGTTTTGCCAGCTGGTAGTGAATTTCCTTACTGTAAAGTGTTTGCTAGTTTCTTCCACATCTTTCCCATTATGAATCCAAGTTATTGACTTCTAGCAAGTTGGAGCACATACAACAAAAATTCCAGAATAAAGCCTAGGCACCCTCTAGGTTGCAGAATGTAACTCATGTAACATAGAGGTAATTAGCCCATTTTGGGAGATTCCATTTTAAGAAAAAGGAAATACAGAAAGCATGTGGTATTTCAGGAGCATGACATGTGCTGGACTGGGTCAGCAGAGGCAACGGGCTTGGGCTCCTTGACACCATCCAGATTTCAGTTTGGATGTGGCCTTTACGTGCCGAGGTGAGCAGAGCTTATGTCTATGTTTGTAAAATAAATGGGCCAAAGACTGTGTCCAAGGATGTTAGCTGTTGTGTGGGGAGGAGCCAGCATGCCCCCAAAAGGGAATGCTTACCCTCAGACCTGCATGGCTTTCCTCTGCCCAAGCTCATGCAGTGATTTCTCACCAAGCCCAAGGCAGCAAGGTCACACCTCTGCCAGCTTTTTTTAGAACTGCCCGGAGGAGAAACAAAGATACTATTAGCACTTACTTACCTTTAGTACTTAACTTATTCTAAATTAATTAGAAGCAGCTGAGAGTGCAAATGTGTTATCAATGTGTAATAAAGATGGGCAAAGTCTAGAACATTATCACTTAGTTTGACATCAGTACTGGTAAAAACAACCGACCAAATGATAAGGGAATTAATCGGGAAGCACAAGGCAAACAACTGCTAAATAAACAGCAACAGCATGGCCCTGCAAAGAGCAGATTGTATCTCGTAAACCTGAATGGCTTTTTTGTTCACACCCTGGAAAGAGGGACCAAGCAGAGAGGTGATAAAAGCCAGTCAGCAGAGAATTGCAATAAACTTCAGAAAGACCTAAGAAAGATGTGAAATTTGATAATATAACAACAGATTACCAGTGTGGGGAAGCTCATGGAGATGTGCAGAGAAAGAAGCAATTTCAATTGCGCTGATGATTTTTGAGGTACTAGCGGTTTCACCTTGGTGATGTGTCACTGTGAAGAGCCCAGCAGCCCCAAAGTTAACTGCGGAAAAAAACCCCAAACAAGAGACCCCAAACTCAAGAATATTGAATATATCCTGCTGCTACACACGATGGCTACCTCAGCCTCAGGAGAGGTTTCAGCTTAATGTCAGAAAGACATTTTTTACAGTGAGAATCATCATTCACTAGAACAACCTCCCTAGGGATGTGGGAGAGTCCCCATCACTAGAGATTTTCACAACATGACTGGACAGGGTGCTACACAATCTCATTTAGGCTCCCCTTTCCACGAAAGGTTGGACCAGATGACCTTCCGAGATCCCTTCCAGCCTGGGCTGCTCTATCATTCTATGAACTTCTGACTCACATGCCTTTAATTAAATTGACTGTAGCAGTGTTATCTGCTTAGCATTGCAATTATTCCCCAACTGCTCCTGACATTTCAAAGTTTAGTATAAGAGCAACTTAGAACATTGCATTTTTGAAACAGCCACCAACTGACTATAACATATTTGACCTCAACACCTGTCTTGTTGTTAATTTTTCTCTCAGTCTGGTTATACAGAGTTATAGTTTGCAGGAAATAGTCCAGATACCCCCTATTTAAATATGGTTGTCACTCATTGAAAAATCGTTTCTTCAGAGGAATGTCAATAATGACTTCTGCATACTGCATCATGTGATAACAGGGCTTGCTTCTGGTACCTGGGCAGTTGTCTTGGCCAACAGATCAGCAATACCACCCTCTCTGTCCATTCCCTCTCCCTGTCCCCATCATTCTCTCCAGAGCTGGGACAGGAGGGTGCCATTCAGTAAGGACAGACACAGGCTGCCTCTGCACTGAACACTGCAACCCTCCATGGCATTGGTGCTTGACCAGCTCAAGCAGTGCCAGGTGGTGGTTTCACAGCTTTCCTGAGTGCTGCTGCCTGGGTCCCAGTAAGATTCCTCAGTCCCAACAGGAGAATAAGGGTTCTATTTAGTGTGTGCAGGCATGCCTGCGGTGGAGGACAAGGCACATTGACCAGGAATGAGTTCAGTATTAGCTTTACACCTGGAATGCCTTCGGCCTGTTCTGGCTCAAGATACAAGTACACAAATTTCTAATGGTTATACAAGGTTTACTGAGCCTTTTTGAGTTACTTTTTCTGCCTGCTTGCTTCCCCCTTCTCCAGATGACTTGTTTTAAACCATACAGTGGTCTCTTACAGACTTGCCTGCAAATATCTCTATCTGAAGTCTTCTTCTTGTTACTGGTAGGTAACAAGCATGCTTTAAGAGAGGATGTCAGGGAGCCCTTAGAGCAACCAAGACTTCTCTGTCTGCAAAACAAACATTTACACAGTATAGTATAGTCTGACCTGAGCCTTCCAGATTCTACATGCAGTAAACAGGATGCCATAATGGTTTTCATGTGAAATGTGACTTTCATCTTATATATGGATGCAGTGGAAGCACCTGAAAGCTGAGGGCCTTGTCCCTTACCAAAAGTTTGGGGAAACAATGAAAAAAAACACTGGAAACGTCACTTCTCCTTTAGGGCTAGACCTTCTTTTTCAGCTTCCTTAGCTGCATAGGGACCATCAAGGCTGAGAAGGAGTTTCTGCTCAACTGCATTAATGATAACAACTTCGAAGTGCATAAGGAATGCTTGAGTAATTCTGCACTGAGGACAGAATAATAGAAGTGCTGCTACAAGCACTGCAGAAGGGTTTTTAATGCCATGATATTAGAAACATTAGAAAATGTGATTCTTTTTTTCAAAGTATTTGACTCTCTTTAGTAACATTCTCCTTCTGCAGCCTTACGAAGTCAGGATATACAAGGTCTTGTAACATTTATCCTCATGGGTTTTTAATGGAGCAGTGACAAGTATAGTATTGAGGATAATATTAAGGTAGCTTTGCAAAAGATATATTTGACCTCTTCTTTATTGCTATTAAATCAGTTTCCGTGTTTAAGGCACAACTGCAGCATCAGATGGAGCAAGATCTTTTGCCTAGTTCCTCAGTAATGCCACCCTCAAAGTTGCAGCTACGTTTGGAAGGTGGTGATTACACCATCTTTCTTGAATTTGCTGACATCAGCCTCCCTGACAGATGGCTGTCTGAAGGCATATGGAGAGAGGATGATGGCTAGCCTATATTTCAAAAGGCAGTGATCAGTCCAGCTCTGATCACGAGCTCCACACATCATCCAAGTTACATGGAAATTGCATAAATCTCTTTTCCTCATTGTAATCAAAATGGTCATGTGCCAGAGCTCAAAGAAAGGGTGCACCCAGGTAGTTTTATACTTCACAGCCTGCTGAAACATTTTGTTAATTATTTAGAACTGATGCCTTCTGAAGGAAGAAAGAAGCAGGTTGGCATTTAAGCCAGTCGTCTGATGATGCATTTCCATATGCTGCAATCTCTTGCCACACAGTGAGGATCGGAACGTCTGTCTAGCTGATCTTCTCAGAAGCATCAGCATTTTCAGATCAGCATTTTCCGAATTTTTGCTTCTTTTGGCTAGCACTGGCAACACTAAGACCAAAATTACTCTTCAGACTGAAGTTGGCATTCCTTTCCAGGAAAACCCACATTTTTATCAAGTGTCCATTTGGCTCCTTCAGAATATTTTTCCATCTCTGAGAACAAGTATGATTGTGCAGTTAATTCCTCAGTCCTAAAAGAGATGTGTCAGCGTTGTGAGTTGTCCTTGGCTGCAGAAAAGTTCTCAAGGAGTTGAGGTATGTTATAAATTCTTAAACAAACAAGGGTGTTCTGACTTCCAGACACTGACCTGTCTCTTTCATAATCTGAACTGTGCCTTTGCCTCCAGATTTCTGCGGTACCTTCAGAGCTGGTTAAATGGGGATAGCTTAGTTTTTCTCTAACCTTTTCTGTAGACAGGTGTTAGCAGTGCCATCATAATGTGCAGTTGTTCCTTTTCTTTTCAACTAGTTTGCAAGATGACAATTAAGATGTAGAAAGCTGGTCGCAGCTAGTCAGTAGCAAGGCTCTGTATGTTCAAATCATCTTCTAAGAGCAGAGTGCAGTCTGTCTTCTCAAGGGCAGAGCTACATTATCCACATTACCTCCATTCAGGCACACACTCAGGAGAGGTGGTAGCAATTTTCCCTGTTGGATGTGGCTGTGAGAAGGACTTCTGAATGCTCTGCCCTTAACAGCACAATTAAGGGCACACCCATGTGGAATAAAATCAGGGTTGGATGACCCTGAGCTGACGTGTTTCCAGTTCTCCAGCAGCCATCCTCCAAGCATGAGGCACCAGGCTCACCAGCTCAGCTGCAATACTAGTTTAAAAATATTTATGCACCACAAAACCAGCCTTAATGACAAAATGCTCTGCCCTTAACAGCACAATTAAGGGCACACCCATGTGGAATAAAATCAGGGTTGGATGACCCTGAGCTGACGTGTTTCCAGTTCTCCAGCAGCCATCCTCCAAGCATGAGGCACCAGGCTCACCAGCTCAGCTGCAATACTAGTTTAAAAATATTTATGCACCACAAAACCAGCCTTAATGACAAAGGACATTTTCTGTTGGTTTTTTTTTTTTTGCAGTGCATAAAATATTCTAATGAGACTGGGAAGGGAAATGTTCCCACTTTGGCTCTAGGGCTCTGGTCAGGACTGGAATCCCAGCAGTCTGCCTTCCCAAATTCCTGGTATTACTCCCTGCTCATTCCCCACCCTTTTCCAGACTGTTGGTTCTCCTACACTGGCAGGGCAGCTAAGGAGCCCAGGACTGGCAGGCTCACACCCAAGCCCAGCAACAACTGAAATAAAGACAGATAAACACTAGGACATCTGCCTGTCATCCCATGGTGATTCCTATATGGGTCTTCTAACACTAATGGTCTTGGGCAAACTCCCCCTTTACAGTCCCAGAGAAAGGGGACAGAAATCTGTAACTTTTTACTTCAGCCAAACCATGTAATTATTCATGTAAAAATGTGAGCTTTGGGGTCTGGGGTTTTGGTTGGTTGGTTGAATTAACAAGGTCATTCAAATGAATCTCAATTTATGTATCCAAGTGGAATTTACCAAAGAACACTGGGCACCAAGCTGTGCACAATTTTCATCTGTGATTTAGGAAAAAGCACTATAGACTACCTCATTTAAAATTTAATGCTTCCAGACACAGAAAGAGTGCAAGACTTTTGCAATGGTTTGTACTTTACAGAGATGTTGAGAATTTAGCAATCTGAATACATCTTAATAGAATCAGATTTAGTGCAAATAAACCTCTTTCCACTCCTTCACCCGCCTCTTTTTTGTTGTGTGGAAAGGCTAAATGATTTACTGGAGCAAGCTTTTTTTAAACTCTGCAGTAATTTGATTGCAGGGATAACCTCCAAGCCCTCTTGCTCTACAGAGACCAAGTCCTTACAATCTATTATCTGTCAAACAGTTTCTAAATGCTGCCAACCGACTACTGTCTCCTTTTGTCTAGCCAACAGTCAGAAACAGGCACCATGTGCATCTCTTCCAAGCACTACATATGAGACAGCATCAGCTTTGCTTAGTTGTTGCCATTGCTAGGTGAATTGTGCCATGCCACATCATTTATTCAGGCCATCAACATAAAAAACAATACTTCATAGTTCTGTCCCAATAAATCAAATCTGTTAAGCTGAAAATCCAGTAAGTGAATCAGTGGCATTGAAACCTAATGGCTCCAGATGAAATGCTTCATTTTTCAAAGCCTCTAATGGGCTCAGTCATTTCTTATTTCACAGGCTGTAGCAGATTTATCAGCTAAATTAAAAGCACACATTGCTGGACTTTGAATGACAATAAAAATATTGGCCCTGAAAGACTGTGGAAAGACATACTGCCTCCTTCTAGACAGTCTGAATGTCACTTCTAAACACTTGAACTATTATTCTGGATTGTTCATGTACAACTGATCTCTGTAGGGGTGCAGATCATGTATAAGCTTAAGAAAAAAATGAACCAGCTTAGCATTAAAAACAAGAAGCCATTTAAGGGTATCCATTAGATAAAGTATTTCTTTACGGTGATCAATAATAAGTTGAGCACACAATGCTTACCAAGGCTAGAGAAAGTCCGTACAAGCCATCAGAGCCAGCAGTTACAAGATGGCTAGGGCCATCCACTACCATTAAGGATAATCTATAGATACACCTAGATATTGCTTAGTTGAGTACATTCCAAAATTCATCTGAAAGAGCATTAACTGATGCTCAATATCAACAGTATAAAGCAATGCTCAACTCCCAGGGATTTTGAAAGTGACACAGTGCAGGACAGCAGAGTCCCATTCCCTCAGCAGCGCAGACTGGATTCTCATTGTTCAAATCAGCTCCAGGTTCCCAACAGTGCCTGTTCATGATCATTTGCTAAGGTGCCAGCCCACGTTTTATGACTACTTTGATGCTTCTGCCACCATAGATTCAGCCTGGTTTTTGTAAGTGAAGAGATCTTATCTGTGAATGATCTGATCTCTTTCCCTGCCAACCTGCGGCAAGTCCAGACCCTCCTTAACAACATGCCTGCTCAGTTTTAAAAGATCTATTATACCATTTAAAATTAAAAAAAAAAGAAAAAACCAACAAAACAAAACCAAAACAAAACATGTCTTCCCCCCCAAAATAAACCCCAAATGCTAAAAGCAGGATTAAAACCACCTACAGTATCAATACTTGTATCAGAATATAAAGGTGATACCGTGCTCTCAATTAGAAACAAGCCAGTGTTTCGCACACATATACGTACATACAAAGATTGTAAAACTATTCCTTCCTAACTTTATCAATACATACATTGTCAGGCCTTTAATATTTATGATGGTAATTTCTCAATACTAATGATTACACTGGATAATAAAATAGATGTTGCACTCTCCCGTTGTACTTGCATGCAGCCTTTTTTCAATCTTGAATTGCAAAGAACTAGAGGGATGTGAACCATCTCATTTTCCCAAATGGAGTTCACATACAAGTGTCTGACTCTGTCTTGGAGGAGTCTACTTTAATGGACAGCAGAGTGCTGTTACGAGACTCACCCAAGCCCATAATGGGCACAGCACAAATTGGAATCTCCTGCTTCAGCTGACATCAAAACAACACATTTTCCTACTGTGCATTGGTCAGGAATCAGCAGCTTTCTATTTTCTAACACAGCATCTAAAATGACCATAGGTTTTTGTTGCCATAACTCACACGTTTTAATGCTGATGCTATCAGAAGAAAAATTATGTAAAAAAATCTAGACTTGCATGGGGAGAAATCAGCCGCCTCTCCCTTCATCTACTGAGGGAATTCTCAAGCTGCGTTACTATTTCTAGAACTCTAGAGAACTAAAAAAAACAAAATCCAACCTCCAATACTGTGAATAAATAAACCCTCAGGGGTCATATAATACTTGTGACAGAAACCAGGGCCATACACGTGTGATTGTCAAAGTACTAGTATGGGACAGTACATTTTTAAGGATTTCACTCAAGCAGTGTGTGGGAGATTTTAAATTTCCATACTGAAATGTATTCAGCAGCTATAGAGAGAGAGGGAAACCCTGAGAAGTAACCTTGGGAGTGTGATTTGTGCCCCACTTATTACAGAGGCAGTGAACTGCTGTCTTCTATTTCCAAAATGAGTGGGTACTGGAGAAAGCAGGCAGCAATCTGCCTTCTCTACAGCCACTGTCTGTCTGGCTGTTGTTAAGACTAAAGCTGTGTGCACCAGTTTTATTGGTCATTTTCTGATCTCAATCCCCAAATTAGCTGTTTGTGGGCATTCATACCACATAGCCCTGTGTGTGAATCCCATGAGGGTTTCAGCAGGAGCTAAGAGCTTACTCAGGACAGCCACAGCCTAACGCATCATTTTTAGGCCTAAAATGAAGAGGCCTAGCAAATTCAGGATTAGCCAGTTCCTGCAGATCATTTGATTGATTGCAATTTTGAATTTAGGGGGAAAAAAAATCTCTTCTAGGTGCCAAAATGCTTTTGCAGTTTTGCTTTTATAAAATAAGGTCCCATCACCTGGTAAAGTACCAGGCAATAACGGGTTTGGTGGTCCTTCTTAAGGCAGAGATTTTTCTTTATACATTTATTAAACTGCGTGACACACCTGCGTGACAAATCTGTTAAACTGTGTGACACACCTTCCTCCTTGAGCAATTCCTGATTAAAATACAAATGCTTCAAATTTAATGGCTTTGCCACTTTCTTTTACATAGTCGGTATACCCTCATCTGTCACCTCTAACAGAGCTTCTAGGCAGATAACCTGAAAACAACCGAACTGATTTGTCCCTGACCATGAATTTGTTAAGAGCACTCTTCTACACCATACATTTGTTGTTTTCTCTGGTTTATCCCTCTCATTTATCTCCCTACTGCCTTCTTCACAGTCCCTTCTGGTTTTATAAGCTCTTCGGGTGACTGGGGGGTGTGTGTCTACACATTTAAAAATAATCTGAGCCTGGCAGCTGAGACTGGACCTGAATCACCCTTTGGATGGTGCATCCACCCTCTGTGCAAGCAGCTGCTACCCCTCAGCTGCAACCGCCGCTGAGCCCCCTCTCCTGCTCCTGTCCCAGGTGGAAGATGGGCAAACATCTGCTGCCCAAACAAAGCCCAGCCCCAAGAGACTGGGCAGGGAGGCTCCGTGCCAGCCCTGCTTTCCTCAGTAGAGAGGGCAGAGTCAGCATCATCCCACCGCAGCTCCTCCTAGATCCCCATCCTGCCTGGACTCATG